CAATTCATTGAGTTGATCACATTGTTCCTCAGATGTACATGACAGCTTCGGCTGTGGAATTATGATAGTGGCCACTACGTGTCCCCAGATTCACTAAAATCTAACGTAAGTCATCCATGACGTGCCCACTGATGCTAACACGGCAATTTCGAGACTTGATGGTGATCGACATGAACCTGTTGTTTTTGGCAGCTCTGGTGGTTCTATGGTTGTCACTGATCTTGTCCTTGACCTGTGTAACATGAACAGTGGCTGTAAGCATCACTGCAGTACTGTTACCTGCAAAGGCTGTTTGACCCTTTGACAATTACATCTGGTCTCCTGTTTCAGCAGAACACCTTTATTTATGCAAACAGTGCTAATCCAGTATGGTGACACCGTTCTGTCATCTGGTAGGTGACTAAGATTTGGACTAAGATCCAGATCCAGGTGACTCTTTGACTGGGTCTGGATCTTCATTTATGTAGGAACTCATTTCAGACATTTATACCAATCTCACTCTTAACAAGAATGCAAGGAAGTTAAAACTAATCCTCTCAGTCTGTGTGTCACAACATATGGTGGATGAGCAGGAGGGAGAACAAGAAAAGCGTCATTCAAGTGTTTCCTGTTCTGTAAGCACTTTCATACAATAAGGCTCTTATACTGCCTGATGTGCACATGGACCGTTTTAAATACAATACCCAAGGATTAGAGACATCCTCAGCTAGCTGTCAGAAGTGGCCACAGTGGATTGGTTTTGTTTGACGTAACATGTATTCTGTGGTTGAAACTGTAAACGGTGGCGGCTCATCATGTGCAGGGAGTGGCTCCTGTAGTTGACATGTGCACACGCTCCTCACCTGGACTGCGAACCCGACACCAGTAATCTGACAATGCGTAAGATGTTTGGCTTTTTCTGCACATGTCATTCTGGGGTCGGTGTCATTTGAAGGACAAATACATGGTAATAGTCTTTAAAGGGACTGATGGGGAGAAGAGCGATTTTAAAGGACAAAGGAGTGAGTGTCAAAATATGGATAGGATTACCTTGGCTCTGGAGCAGGAAAGATACAACACGAAAAACAAAAACCTTACACTGACACAGCTACCAATGAACAACAAAATTCCAGTGTTTTGTTCTGCCAGTTTGGGTTGAGCTGCGTTGATTTATATTAACGTCAGATTGTACAAACTACCGGCTTCTCTCTTTGAATTCCTTCTTTCATACGAAACTTAAAGGCATAATGAAATATGTATTCAGAGACTGCTTTAAGTTTTCATGCCAATAAAACCCGGGATACTGAAAGCCCCTTCCAACTGTTTTTGTTTTAAACTAAGTGTTGTCATTTCACATCAGATTCTTTGAAATAAACCCTTTTCTGTCAGAGGGACAGGCAGAACAGTGATGTAAATGTGCATATGATATCATGCCATTAAGGAGAGCACAGACTGGGTGGTGGACAAGGAGTAGCCATTCACATGCAACAGTTAAACTGCTGAGGATGACCTCCAAGTGATCCATATGAATAGAATGGCAAACATGTGCCATGTGTTATTAGTATAACTAACTCGGTGACTAGTTTAAAGTCTTCCTCCTTACAGATTACTAATTATTTACTAATTATTTGTAAATTATTACTATTAACTAATTATTAATGTTCTTTGAAGGACAACAAAAGCATTAAAGCATCAGGTGAAATAAAAGGAGTTAGTGATATATGAATAGACTCTGTATCTGTATCTTGGATTTTCTACTAAACAGGATTATACTTTACTAGGTTTAAATAAGTCATCTTTTTCTTTTAAATGGAAATCTGATATAATAAGGTAATAAAATTAGGTTATTTATTTTAAAGTAGCCTGAATTTTATCATGAACTTCTATTCCTGTGGGGTGACTTTTGGAACATTTCTCGGCTTTAAAAACCATAGTTTGCAATCAGACGGTGGCTTTGTCCTTCTCTAATTGGCAGTCAACGGGAGAACATGAGCTGGAGAACACTGCTCCACACTCTGTAATCCACAGCCCTCTATCTGGACACATCTTAGGCCTGAACCTCCAAACCACACGTCACATATCTCCTATCAAATGAAAAAGAGTTTGTATCAAACCGTATATGAGCCTCTTGGCCTTCAGTTCCTCACTGATTCTTGGGACTTTCTGCATCAAATATCATGTGTATGGTATAATTCAAAACAAATGTTTGACAACAGAGGGCAAGTGTGATTCCAGAGCCAGACCCACTGAGCGGCTTTTTTGTAATATAATTTCTATGCTGATTGACCAGTCAGTTTTCCAAGATGACCACAACCTCAGACTTTGTTTTTCAATTGTTGTTCTTTCAGTGTTGTTACCTCACTGTTAACTGTTAGGATGAGCAGAGGACACGTAGTTTCACAGGTCAACAAATGCCTTCTCTACCCATGTTAGCTTGTCTTTACCTTTTAAGTTAATGTGATCGTCAGTTTGCTGTAAACGCCTCCAGACTGTATTCCACAGAAACTTACAGTAAACTGTTGAGGTTTGGTGTAATGTCGCAGCTCAGTTTGAGTGACTGGAAAAACCCAATGAACGGAATTTGTGATATGTGAGAAATTATTTCAGCCATATTACATGGCAGTAGAAGGATACAGGAAAACTTGAAATTGTGTTGTAAAAAATAGATTTAAAATAAATTTAAACAATTTCCAGAAATTCTATAGAAGAAAACCCCTATACATTTTACATTTTCCAGAATTTTCATTTTCCAAATATTGGGTTCTATTGGGGTCCTCTAGTTACTGACTTACAATAATACAATAATATAAGTTTATCATTGGATCCACAGCAAGAAAATCCCCTTTTCAATAGTCTTTGGTCTTGAAGTGTACTGTAAATAGCTGTTGATACTGTTTTTATTGACAGACAACAAAAGACAATTGTCCAAAATGGCCTTAAAATAAAAGACCCTTGTCTTAACGTTATGCTGAATGAAGATCCACGGTTGGTGAATATTTATCCTGGGATGAGTGTAAACATAGTGTCTCACTGTAAAGCCCATCTTTTAAAGTGAATTAAAGTCTTCAAAGTAAAGTACAGTAATGTGTCCTGCTCCGTCTCTCATAGTTTGTTCTGTTGTGCCGCTCAGTCTTTTATTAAGCATCGCGGTAGGTCGCTCCATTTGAGCTGTGCTGTTACCCTGCCTCAGCTTGTGATACTTTAGACTTTGCTTAGATCAATTGAAGTGCCTCTCGTTTGCAAAGATTGAATTTGCCCGAGGACATTTTCCTGTAAACTGGATGCTAAGGAGTTTATATTGAGAGTCACTTATTGTGGAATGGCCTGTCTTTTTACTGGCTCCTTTGTCTTCCGCAGACAACTCCAGCTGAGGCCAGGGCCACTGAGGTTTTGGGGTCTTTCATCGTCTGTCTCAACACTATGGTTCAGGAGGCCAGCCCTGACCAGCATTAATACACTATTCACATTCATAACCAATCAGTGCTCGAATGTGGAGAGGGAATGTGTGGAGTTAGCAAGAATGACAAATTAGTGAATGTAACATATTTACAGTGAATTACAGAATATCCTGCTGATATATCTATTACGGTCGTCTGGGTTTTATTCTCGTAGCCGGGCTGTATTCTTCTGGTCAGGCCTCCCACAGTTAAGTGTATTGCCTCGAGATCACCCTGTTCTCGTCATCAGGTGAAGTCAGGGTCATCCACAGATGAGTGATGATAGAAAGTGTTCTGCCTTCCCTTGGCTAGCACAGAATAAACAATTTCCTGAACCACCGTGGTAGATGCATTCTTCCTCTTTAGCAAATGTTAACAGTGGACCTACATTTAAAACCGCTTCATTCTTTTACATGATCTGTGCAACTTGTGTCTCTCTCGGTGGTTTTACACTAATCCTAAAATCGTTTGGCTGGCCTTTGTCATGCGAAATAGCTACGCATATATGCAACGAACCGGAATCGACGTGTTTCTCACTTTTTGGCGGATTAACCAGTTGATTAAAATTGACTTTGGCTGATCGCTACTGCGTGTGATGTTGTGCCATTATGCGCATACTTTAAGCCTCTGAGCTATTTTAGCCTTTTTGTTGAGGGCTGTAGCATTAGCCATAGCGGATCACTGTAACAACAGGAAGAGATGCAATTTCATAGTGTCATTTTTATACCCGTCAGAGTAGTTTCCACTGCCTCTGCTTTTTCCGAACACGAGATAAAGTCAGGTGTAGTATTTTGGTAGCCTGATATTTACTCTGGCAGCCTCGCTTGAAAGGTTTTTGTGACTTTTGTGTGTTGTTAAATGAATAGCTTCTCCTTGCAATCATCCCCTGAGTTCACTCTCGTGAACACTGTACAAATGAGTTATTAGTGTTGGTTACTATGATCAAGTTTTTCCAGTAAAGATCCACAGATTTACCTGGACACCATTGTTAACATCTAACATGCATGAAGTATTTAGGGATATCATTGCAGATATTGCTTTACTTTTGAATTGTTTTTGGTGAAACATTGGCTTTTATTGCAAATATTATTTCAATACAATCATCAGTGAGTCTAAGCAGGCAAGCATTTTACCAGCTCTTCAAGTCAGTGTTGCTATAAAATACAAAGATAATAAAAGTTGTTAAATTATTGCGACCAGATTCTTCGAAGTAGAATTCCTCCAGACATTGCATGCTGGAACAGGACCAGTTGGTGGACAACATGGGAAAGAAATAACAATGCACTCAAGCGCAGCACAGACAGAAGTGAAGTATTTTTTGTTATGATTTTAAAAAGTGGACTCATGCCGACTTCCTCACCTCCTCACATCTGTTTAGTCAGCACATCAAGTTTTAGTATTATTGCTGTGATATAATAGAAAAGAGATATGCTGCTAATAAATGTCAGGAAATTGTGTGTCACTTTCATCCATGGTTATCCAACAAGAACTTTGGCTGGTTCTCATCCACACCGTTGAGAATTCTACTTTAATTCCGTACCATTAATCAGCGCTGCCGTTTTCTCCTCTGTGTTTATCCTGCAGCTAGCTATGGAGCCTACCCCATCTGTAAGGGCTGCTCGGTGTGCTCCAAGGACAACGGCTGCGTAAACTGCCAGCCCAAACTCTTCCTTTTCCTGCGACGTGAGAGGATGAGGCAGTATGGGGAGTGTCTTCACGACTGTCCGGCCGGATATTACGGCATGCGCAGCCCTGAACTCAACATGTGCTCCAGTAAGCCCTGTCATGCACTTCATCTCTACTCCTCAACTTCCCTCCTCACCTCCGCCCCCCCATCTTTCCTCCCTACACTGGAAAACATTTGTAAATATTTTCCCTGCTTCTCTTTTCCCACAAGACATTATTTATTGTCAATTATCCAGCGGAGACACACATATCTGTCGATTTCAACGCTTCATCTGTTCATACAGGTGGATGTATGAAGTGAAACTTCTCTTTGGAGGCCTCGCTCCTCTGGATTTAGCTGTTTCCATTTAACTGTTCACCTCCTGTAGGCGCATGGATGTTGAAAGGTATTAAATCCAGGTGCAGGTAGATCTAATGTGCTAATGGTGCAGCTAAGACTGTTCTTGGTTTTGGTTTTCATATAGCATCCCAATAGGAGAGATACGCTTAAACATGAAATTCACAAAGAGAAGAAGAAGGAGTCCCAGGGAAGAGTTTGGGGTTTTTAGGAATCTGAGGTGTTGGCTGAGTGTTTTGTACAAAAACATTGAGGAACTTAAACCTGTCAGGTTTCCTGAGCCAAAGTCATGCACTAAAACCACCAAAATGAAGAAAGAAAAACAAGATACATTGTCTTGTTCCATTTAATTATGAAATGAAGATCAAGTTCAGGCCTCACCAGACAAACTTGGATGGCAGCAAACCCTGAGTAGCTGAGAAAATTGAAACTTTATTACTCAATTAGACATTAAGTAAGCCGCAAACTGTATACAGAACGCAGACAGAGCTCTGCTGTTGTGAGAGTGAAGCCATGGAAGTCAGTAGGAAGGATGTTGAGTATTATTTAATTTGTGTTGTCAATAATCGTTTACATGACAATCCTATGATCCCAGTCAAAATTTTTTAATTGGAAAAATGACAAAAAAAAAGGAAATTATTTCCAGGTTTTATTTTCTTATGTGACTAGTTACATTTGTTCATCCAACAATTTGGAACAAATTTTGAGTGAGGGGAAGCCAAGATGTGCTAATACGTCAAAGAAACTTTCTTTCTTCATATATTCCTGCAACTTCCTTTTAACAGTTCTTTCAATTTCGGAAAAATAATCTTTGGTGAATCTTAAATAATTTTAATATTTCTGTTTTCAACTTTTTCAAATTAATATTTAGTCAGATTTCAGAATTGTTCATCGTTGAAGTGTTTTTCATCAAAAGTACAATCTATGTATAACACTTGACAAGGACAAAATAATTGGATCCGCCTGGGAGAAATGTCTTCACATGTTTCAACGTTTAAGATCTGACACCTTTTGAAAATGTCTCCCTCTCTTTCAACATCTCCTAAAGACAGAAATAATAATAAAAAAACATCTCAACCAGTCATGGTTTTGATAAGAGCAAGAGATTTCCCAACAGTGTCAGTTTTAAATTTACGAAAAGGCTTCAGAATTGGACTGAGACATGAGGTTTTTGGTAAAATTCTCCAAGGCAGTGTTTCATCTGTCATCTGGATTAACAAGTTCACAGCTAGGTGCTACGGAATATCCCAGTCTCCTGCAGTTTTTCAATGTAAAACTGTCTTTTAGTGAACTGTTGGTGCTGATTAGGTACTGCCAGACTCAACACTTAAAACCACATGCTCACATACTCGCTCAGTTGCATATTCATCAGATCTACCCACATTAGAGGCCCAGTCACAGTCATTTCACCTTATTTTCATGAGATGGGAAAGGGAATAAAAGAAAAAAGACATCTTGTTCTTTGTTAATTTTTTTCTTAGACCTAAATCCTGCTGGGTGAGTTCTGACTTAAACTGAACCTGATGTGTGGCAAGTTAATCTGAATCCTTTTCCTAAACTGCCCATGGAGCAACATCATGTATTGTCACGTAGAATCAGATCTCAGACAGAGACTGACTTTGAAGTCACTGCCGCCCCAGTGGTGACTTTCTAATCCAGTTTCCTATCTGACCTTCCTTCTCAGCTGTGCTCTGCCCGTGTCATTTTGTACGGTACTGTGCAAATGCCCGGTTATTTGTGAGTGTGACATTGTCTGGCTCCAAGGCACTGGGGACAAATATTGTTGGTGAGCGCAGGCAAAATGGTCAGCTCTGCGGTGTGTGCTCCCGGTTTCTAAAGGGGCCTGGAACATGGCTCTTCGCCTCTGTTATCATTAGCTTTTTTAAAACACTAGCTCTGAAGTCACTTAAGAGCAGCTGCTTATTATTACACCAGGGCTTGTCTGTGTGATCTTATCTCATTTAAGATTTTTCTGGACTGCCTGGGTAAAGGGAAAACATGGGCCAGACAAGTGAAAAGCTTATACATTCAGCCACCCATTGGCTTAAACTCACTCTCTTTTTTTCTTTTCTGAAGGGGGATTTGAGGAGTCATGAGCGTAGGATAGAGTAAGAATATTAGGAGTAAATGGACAAAATTAGATTTTTCACAGTGTGGGTTGATGATGTCACTAAGTTTTAATCAAATATAGAATTATCAAAATTATTCCCGCAGTTATTTTAAGAGGCAGCAGGAAATAATTGGTGGTGTGATCATCTGCAGTGATACTGCCCCCTGTCTGTAGTTTTTCTTTTCCTTTTTTTCTTGGGAAACCCAGGGAAATACACCTGTAGGTGGCAGTGATTAATTTAAAGTAGCAGAGTTAGAAGAAGTAAAAATTTTTGTCTCATAATTTATCTGTTAAAATATTTCAACAACACAAAACACAACAACAATTTTTGTTGTTGTTTTAATTTTTTAAGTTTACTAAATTAGGGCATTAATCTGATGATGTTGGAGGTGTACACCAATGCTAAGATGGCTTCTGCCCGTCCACTTTTTGATGCACGAATTAAACCATTTTAAGCTTCTAAATGATCTGCCTTGCTCTACGTTACAAAGCAGTAATATTCTCGGCACTCCACTGTAATATTATGCAGTTTAAATATAAGGAGGACATTTGTGGGTTGCATCTGTTTATTTGTTTGTGTACAGAGAAAGCTAGTCCATAATTAGAGACAAATACAAAGGGAACAAGGGAGCTATGAGCCCCGCTTTCAGAAAATATGAGGGGAAGCACATTTACAGCTTACATGTCAGCTGGATTTCATCTAGGCCTGAGATGTGGATGCCACTGTGGTAGCTACTATTACCGTTATGTTGCTGCTTCATTAGCAGTTACCCTTGGTTTTATAATACCTCTCTCAATGTCTATATATTGGGTTCCAATTGGGTCACGCTTGGTAAGTACTAAGAGGGGAGGATTGATATGGCCAATAAACTTTAGGCTGCAAAAACCCAGGGTTATCCACAGGCTTTCTTATCTGCCACCCAGAAACGGCCCTGCGCCAGTGTCTGTGGGTGTCTATCCACTGCTTAGCAGGGAAGATTTGCAGTGGTAGTCAAACAGAATATTGCGTTAGGCACAGCCAAATATGTGTGAATGTGGTGCAGTCATGCTCTTGCCTCAGTCACATTTCATAATACCTCGGTTTTTAACATACATTCCGCAGCCAAAGTGCATTCTGTCATTTTGTATCACCAGCGAACTGCTTCTGGCAGAAAGAGTTATGAGCTGAGAGGCAGACTATCAGAGCTCCCTTTATGTGAGAGAACGTGTTTGTGGGGTCAGCATGAGAGCACGGCTATATTCAGAACTTCCCCTGCAATATACACATTATTTAGCTGCTGACCCAGTTTCCTTTACTGTTTACAGCTTTTTGACAACACCCAGTGAGCCCAGATGTGTTTGTTGACAACCAGCCACCACTTTCTTAGCACATTATATACATCACAGCAATTCATTTCTCTGTCTGAGGTGATTTTTGGGTTCATTGTTAGTTTTTTAAACTTTTGCAGACAGTGGGAATCTGTTACCACAGCCCATTATTGTTTTTGAAAATACATTGTTGCATCATATTAATGCTGGAAGTGGGAGCTAATGGGAGGTATCTCTTCCACACTATTTTCTAAGCACATCATGTCAAGTATGTAGAGTTGGAGGTGAAAAAGAGCCACGCACCAGTGTCCCCAGTCAACTGTTTACCAAGCTTGTGTAAAATGACCAAAGACTTCTGCAACCGTCCGTTGGCAGCTGTCTGTCTGCCTTTCTGCCCATCCGCAACTCTCATGCAAGCTAAAGCTCTCTCTCTCTCCTTCTCGCTCTAATTCTGAGCTTGTGGGTATTTCCATTGCACAGTCTAACCAACAAAAAGACCAGTTTCTTTTGGCCTTTGAGTTTTACCAAGGGACATTTAATCATCACAGCTTTAGTAACCGCACTTTCACATTTGCCAGACAATACAATGGATCCACCAAACCAAGCCCTGCTCCCACGACAATGCAGCCAGACGTGGAGTTCTTTTTTTTCTTCCTCAAAATTGTGCATAACTATGCAAAGTGCAGTTAAAGAAAGGAAGAGCTGTCTGCGCTTTACTGTCTGAAGCATCGTCTGTCTGTGTGCTGGAGCTGGCTGAGGAGATACAAGGCACTTCCTCTCCTGGTATATCATGTACTGTGTTCCTTGGAGAGGAGAGGCTTGGTGGATCGTTGACCCATTTTTCATGCTGATTGACAGAAACACCACCTCTGCTTCACCTGGCTTTTACACCAGCGGGTGGAGGAGCATTCATGTGGAAATAAAAGCAGCCTGGAGAGAGTTGGGAAAAACATGGCAGCTATCGTCTTTGCCACAAGCTCCTACCATCCATAGCTGCACAAGACATGGCTGGGTGGCAGCGAGCCGGCCAGACCTTCCATGTCGGCCAATCTCAGGGACTCAGACTAGGTCAAAGCTGTTCAACTCAGCTTGGATGCACAGGATGGAAAAAGAAGGATTGTTTTCACTTCTCATGCTGCCAGGCCTTTTACGATATGGACACTCCTGCTACACAACACTGAGTCTGTTTAACTTTCAGAAGCAGACTTGCACGCTAAATTGATGAGTTGTCTGACAACCCACCTCTAGTTCAACCCAAGTAAAGCCTCTATCAAGAACCTGGGAAATTCATAAACCTTTAAAGTCATTTAGCAGTCCTCTCTTTACGCAGTTAATATTCATCTTGATAAAAGGAGCAAAAAGCCGGTCAGGGAACAACAGTTGGAAGACTAATAATTGCTCACAGGTTATAGGAAACACAGCTTGAGACAGAGACGTTACAAGAACGGAATATAATACTGCCATTCCTGGTTACTGTAGCGATCCTGGAAGTCTGTGGAGCTAAACTCCTCTGATGGCCTTTAACTCAACTTTAATCAACTACTGTTTATTGTTGCCTCAAATAATCTTAGAATTTAAGATTACCATAACATTTTATTTATGAGCTTAACAAAAACTTGCTGTTCTGCAACATACATTGGCTGGGTGGGTTTCCCCAGCATTGGGTCAAATGCATAGGACAAATTTCATTTTTTATATATATATAACCGCTAAAGAAATAAAATGGAAGTTGCAATGTTGTTGCAAATAGTCTGATCAATATATTAAAATTGTTTTTTTCTTTATTACATGTAGAAATCCTGCTACTTTTCCTATAAAGTTAGAAAAAGCATCAAGACCAAAACTAGAACGGAGATTAGGTCTGAGACACCAGGCTTTTTCTCTCTTCATAAAATAAGTCACGGCCAGAGCCAGCCTGGGAGATAATGATGATAATGCATTTAAGTCACAGGAACACTGTGCCTTCCATGGAATCTGATGACCTCATTATTTCTCATTAGTTTCCCTGAGGCACCTAGATGAAGACACCAAAGGTGGTCCAGAGGTTAATCTGCGGGGAGAGAATGTCTCTGTTTGTAGAGCTGCAGGACAAGCTGTCTAACTTTACAGAATGTCCAGTTTCCACTGTGGGAGCCTCGTCTGTGTCACAGACAGCCTCCACTGTCCCAGATATCCCTTCACTTGATAACTGGACAGAGGGATGAATGCCATAGTCATCCCTTCTGACCCGTCTCGTTCTCTGATGACCTCTGACCCTTAAGCTTTGCCTCCCTGCATTCTAAATCCCATGTATGTGTCATCCACCTCATCAATCTCCCAGAGTGACATTAATACTTATCTTCTGTTTAGAAAACCAGATTTACGAACAGTTGTGCGACAACATCTGAAACTGGGAGCAGGAATTATGTTTAAATCAATAGCCCTGCCATGTGCTGCTGCTGCTGAGGCGCAGAATTACTTTTTTACACATCTGTGTTGGTCGTATTTACTGTCAATAACTGAGGATTGCACAACTCCAGTTCTCCTGAGCACTGCCAGATGTTTTGGTCCTGCGTTTTTATTTTTTTGGTCTGTCAGCTGCAAGTCTCACAGGTGATGACAGGCCTGAGAAGTGGGAAGAGTGAAAGACAGCTTTGTTGTTTTTGATTTGTTCTGTGATTTATTTGCCTGCTTCCTGCAATGACATTGTCTTTTTTTTCCAACCAAAACATGAGTCATTTAAGTTTATGGGTCTCAAAGTGGATAATCCACAAGAAATGCATGTATATATATATATATGAAAGCTTAAGTTTGTACTTCAATCTCTGTGTGTGTATATATACATATACTATAAACAAACCTAAGCTTTTGTTGAATCATTCAATTAAAAACATCCAATAATATCACTTGACATTATTGGATGTCGTTCAATGAGACGTAGCTGTAAAATGTATTACAGTGAATTCTTTATTAATTAATCCATATAAATATATCCAATATAATAATAGTATTAGTAAGTATATATAATTGTTAATTATATAATGTTTTTGTCACATAATAAACATTGATCAATAATAAAATACTAAACTAGATCATTTGCTTTTAAATTTGTACCGCACTAAAATAACACTAATAACAATAATAATTATGCAAGTATGCTAAAATGTACTGAGACGATCAGTGATTGATACTCGGAATGATATTTCCAGAATGTGAAGTCCTGTCTTTCGGCGGATTCAGTCTTGCTCAGCCATAACTGATTGGTATGTGTGTGTTTTTTAATGTGTGTGTGTGAATGGTTTGTTTAGACTGGTCGGGAAAGCGTGAGACCAGAGTGAGTGGGCAGAGGCCATACTTTAGGGTTCAAAGTGAAGCGGGGAGGGACCCCCTCGTTTTGCAGGAATGTCGAGGAGGAGGCCTTATGGTTAGTTGTAGATGTTGTAATTAAGGGGTGTGATTGTGAGAACCATCCCTTCCTTGGGCCTTGCAAGGGTCACAGATATAGGAGCAGCATCTGACTGTGTCGTGCTTACATGCAAAAAAAAAAAAAAAAAAAAGAGAAAAGAGATGACCCTAAGAAAAGTGAACTTGTTGAGAAGTGCATGCACCTTAATGCTGGGCTTGTGTCACAGACGTATCAGAGGAGAACATGACACTTTACCTGGAAAGGACTCTTTCAACTACACAAAGCCACTGGCTATAGGCTGTGGTTCCCCAACACTGGGAGCTCATTGGTCAACCTTGCCACATGGAGTGTAGGGAGCGTTATAAATTAAACAGCAGCGAGAGGCTCCTTCTAATCATGTGGCCCTGTGTATCGCCCTGTCGCTGTGGCTGTTGTAATTTGGCCCCTCTCCTGACGTGCTATTTGCAGAGTTAGAGCCTGATGACACATTGCCAGGCCTTTTCTTTGGAAGAGTGGCACTGTGTGTCTGTGTCACGCGCAGCGGCAGGGCGTGGCGTGGGAGGAATAAGTGTGCTGTTGTGTTTGCTGACTAAACACATCAGCGTTTGTTTGGCAAAGTGCCGCAAAAATGTCGTTGTCCCCCATCCACCACATACCCCCCAAACCTCCGCCCCCCCACCCCCCGCATTTAAAACCCACCTTCCTTCTTTTTTTTATTTCGTAGCCAAAACCAAAAGCATTCACACAGATGGCCAGCCTTGTGATCGTCAGCCATCATTCACACTTCCACCTAACTTCCAGTTTTGCCGTCATGGAAACAGACACAGATTGGGCAGGTGTGGAGTGATACAACAGCATATTAGTGACACCGTTCACCTCTAATGAGATGTGTTCTTCCTGTGCCACTAGTTGAAAACATGTGAGTGTGTGTTTTTTAGTAAATCTCTCACATCAGTGCAACCTGTTGAAAGAGACCAGAGTGACATTTCTCAGCATCTTTGTTTTCATGTTGATTTTTTTGCTACTGACAAGAAGGGAAAGGTTACCAGAGTTTTTGTGTCAGCCAAAACAAGTTTTGTAAAATGTACATAAGCCTCTGGGAAAAATGATTCTCAAGGCATTTCTTTTTCTTTTTTTTCTTTTTTTTTTCCTGCGGGAGAGACGGTATAATCCTTTCAAGATCTCCCTTCCCCAAACCCCTTAGCAGTCGATCAAATCCAGATGAGAGTTTTGCTCCGACCCTGACGAATCTTCTATTTCCCTCTTTCTTCCTCCAGGGTGCAGAATAGAGAACTGTGAGTCCTGCTTCAGTAAAGACTTCTGCACCAAGTGCAAGTCAGGGTTTTACCTACACAAAGGGCGCTGCTTTGACAAATGCCCTGAGGGCTTTGCTCCTCTGGAAGATACCATGGAGTGTGGAGGTATGTGAAACAACACACACACACACACACACACACATATATCATATATACCTATAAGAGCTAAAAACCAATGGCAATTTAGTTATAAGGTAATGAAAAACTAAGAAATAAAAAACAAAACTGAAAACATAACATATAATATGCCACAACGTATCCTAAATAGCTACAGATATCTGAACTATTGTTAAAAAATATATTGTTTTTATATAGGTTACTTATATTTCCTGGTTTACATACACATTCAGCTGTGTTAATGGTGAGTTGTTTTGAAATCTTGGCTGCTGTTCTACTAGTTGGCACATGCATAGTCAGGACAGTGTTAAAAATTGTAAAATTCCCAAAATGTAGCCCTCACATAGTCAACAGGAAGCGCAACAATACAGCAGATACATCTAATTGTTATTAGACCTGTTAGATGGTGGGTTTTAAAAAGACCGTTTTTGAGAAAGCCTTAATCATGACCTTGGTGGAGGTGTAGACTGTAGACCCTGTTTGGTCTAAAACCTAGCAGTACAGCTAAGACCACACACCAAGAGGCGATAGCTGCTTCTTTAACCCTGCAGTCTGGCTTGACCTGCAGTTTCAACTTAACGACACTTTGCTGCGGTTTTCACAGCACATCTCTGCTCCTGTGTGTGTCTCCACAGAGGGCTGTGAGGTGGGCCAGTGGAGCGAGTGGGGAGCCTGCACCAGGAGAAACAAAACCTGTGGCTATAAGTGGGGTCTGGAAACCCGGACGCGGCACATTGTAAAGAAACCACCCAAGGACACAATACCCTGTCCCACCATTGCTGAGTCCAGGATGTGCAAAATGGCCATGAGGCACTGCAGGAGAGGTAAGGACGCTCGACAGCCGCATGACGGTAAACCGGGTCTGTTCCTCAGCCATGTTCACGTTTAAGGTTTAAAGGGTACTGTGGGGCATAATAAAAAAACACACACCACTTATCCCAGGAGACACCCCCTCCCCTCCGCCCCCACCCTCACTTAGCTCCACCTGTCTCATGTAACCCCAGAGCCTTGCACACAGCCCTGTTGTGACCGAGCGGTGTTTCCGAGGTGCACAGTGGCCTTTTTCCATGCATTAAAATATCAGTGTCTTTCCATGGAGGCCTGGTGTAAACCAGCTCTTTCTCTAAGGTATATTTTTCCCCTCTCTTGCACGTCTCCATTGCGTTCCTCAGTGGAATTCTTTAAAGTAACAGGCAGGTTTCCTCAATGACCGTCTCTGTTTCCTCCCATCAGCTTGACAGACGTCTGCAGTGCACGCAGTGTGTACGTCAGGCCATTAAAAGCTGGAATTTCTCTGCGTGTGAAAAAAGCTTAGGGATTTTTTTTTTTTAATTCAAAAGCGTTGAAGTCCTCTTAAATGGTGCAAAGGCACCGTTATGAGTGACGGCTTAGTGAACGGTGCTTTCAAAATAAATGTCTTTTTCCCTAATGCATCTTTACATCTCTCATTAACCTTGGATTAGAACAGAACAGACCAAGTGTAAATATTTAATTCCCCCAGTAAGGGAGCAATTAGAGTGGCATATTTAATTTGGACTGTCAATAAAATAACAACATTGTTAAACAGAAGGAGGAAAATGTTCACAGTAAGGATTTTCTCCATTTTTGGCCTGAAGTGTTGACTTGGAGGATCATTTAGTGAAGTGGTGAAAGAGTAAATAAACTTAAAATAAATCCTTGTACTTTCTCATATTTCAGCACTAACCGAGGCCCCTGCTTCTCTGGGTTGGAAACTGTGATTCCATGGCACATTTGGTTTCTAAATCCTTGTCCCATGCTACGAGGAAATTCTCCCCAACCCCCACATACGCACTTCATGCCTTAACCCTGCCTGCTTGACCTTTTCCAAGAAACTTTATGACCTTCTTTAATTAAAATCTGGCATTGTTGCACATGGTTACGACCCTCGATTATCTCAGGCATGAAGTAGGTGATGGGAAGTAATTGCGGTGTCTATATTAAGAGCATAGCAGGGCCATTATTCTTGGGCCCTCTAGTTACTGACATCCAGCGCCCTATTACACATCCTTCAGCTACTGTTCCCTGGGATCACGTGTGTTGTCTTAGTTGAGTGGTAAAAGGCTGTGTGTAAAACTCTGTGTGTGAAAAACTGTTATGGCCTTCAGTGTCAGGCATGTGTTGTTGGTAACCCTCCCTCCCCACCCTCTCTCACCTTGTGTTCAACCACTAGTATAGAATTTCCTTTTAAAAAGGAGCCTGTGAAATGCAAACTACTCAGTTTGAATAGTTATTACTTAAAATGAAATCTTAAGTTAGAGGGAACTAAAACTAAAAAATAAAATAAAACACCACTCCACAAATCCAGTAGCGTCACCCGGGAGACTTGACTTACTTGACATTGTAAAATAATCAGTTACCCTGAGGCATAATAGAGAACAGTCTAATGGGAGAAGAGGCCTCACTGTGAAATTCAGGTGATCAGGAAGTGGTAGCACCACAGGGATGATGGAGTTCATACGTTCCTCAGACAGGCTGCAGAACAACAGGGATTATTTTACAGTGAGATGTAACCTTTTACATTTCAGAGGACATTGCATGCGACCCACTCCATGTGCTGCAAACATTGCAACGCAATATGCTCGTTTTCATCTTTAAATAGAATTTGGAAAAGTGACCTCAATGCATGGATTGTTCTGTCATATCAAAATACTGCTTCCAGTATTGTTGACCACGCCGGTGGTAATGACTCGACTCAGGGTTTCTAAAAACAGGCATTTTTCTCAGCTCTTCTTGTCACTGGACACAGATTATATAACTGCAGGCTGTAAACATGCTGTGGATTAAATGGACACAGGAAATAGGAAGCAGCCATATGGAGGTGGACGCTATATATGGTAATGCTTATCTCATCAGCCTGGCTTTCACTTCTACATATCTACGTGTTTAAATTACACTGGATATCATTGTCACATCCTCACACGCCGGCTTAGGACGAGTCACATGGACTTTTTCTTCATTTCCTTCCTTCACATGGAAAGACCTAATCCCTGTGTACTATACACACTGAGAGAGACAGCCATGATGTCATGGCACATAGCACAGATACACAGACATATAAAGAATGTTTGTTGTTTTTTTTTAGTATTTCAGTGATAGGATAAAATGACAGGATTGACGTGTCTGATTACTGTGAGCTATTTGGCACCAAAAACACAGATGACATGACTGAAATATGTACATTTTCACATATTTTTCTTTCTATTCAGCTGCTTTCTGAAAATATTGATTTTGTGGGAAAACTTGCTTGTCTCTCTTAGTGTTGCATCTTAGAATATCTCAAAGCCTAAATATTGTACTGGAATAGTATCACACAAAAGTAAATCTCACAGTCAAGCCACTAAAAGTGCAAAGCAATGTTCCCTTTGCAATTCAATTAATTCAACAGGGCATTTAAGATGTTCAGAGCACCCCCTGCTGGGCAAGGGGCTGCATGTTTCGTGTTTACCAGTACTGTGGTTTCATTATTGACAATTCCCCCAACTCTCTGCTTCTAAAAGGATGGCATGAAAGGAAGGGAAAGGTAAGACGAGTGACTACACTCCACTGCTCGCCTGTTCCATATTGATGCCATTAAGTTATTCTCTCCCCAGAATCCCCTCAGCAGCCCCCTGTCAACATTCACTGGCTTACAAACAGATATGTGTTGCAATAGCAATGGCCAAAAAGTAAAGTAGAAATTTCTCAAGGTAAAGAAATTAACAAAACGAATTATTTCTGTCCTTTTGTCAGGAAATTAAAAAATAAAAGACAAGGACAAGTATAAAAAAGGAAACCTTTGAAACGTGTCCTAATGTTGTCCCTGATCTGGGAGGGAGAGAGGACAAAGACATGAGCTAATACAGTCACAGCTACATTCTGACAGCTTTCATGTAGACGCTGTCCTAACGGCTGTGTTACCCGCTGAGAAGAGCTATATAAAGTTATGACTAGTAAAAATTTTATAGCGTAGCAAAATTGGAACTGATATTAGAAGGACATTCATGACCCTGCTTTTACAGATCAATGAAGATCAGTTTGACTGAAAACATGTTCAGGAGCCCAGTTAAGATTTCTGGTTAATTTTCTTGAACTGAACGAAGACATTCAGGGACCTTCAGGGACCTCGTACCGCAGCACATTCTCAGTCTCCCTGTTACATAAGGCAGTTGGATGTGACAGAGAAGCCAACATTTGTTTAATTTATACCACAACCTACAGCCTGATGTAGAGGACCACAGTGAACCGTGAACCACCCTGAAACGACCAGATCCCAGAAAGATTCGGTTGACTGAAGGGATTTACGCCAGGTTCTGTCTAAAGCCTGTGGTGAGTCCACAGAACCGTGCCCTCCTGGTCCTCACCGTCTGCAACCCATCTGCTGAAGAGTTGCTGCTCCTGTAAAAACAATGCGCAGCACAAGAGCGATTGCTTCAGAGCTGCGTTTGAGGAAGCTCAACTGCCTCGTCTGTAATGCAGACCAGTCAGAACACCAAAAACAAAGCTGATTCCTGGCAGTCTTATCATATGAGTGAACCGCTGAAGCACATGCACGTGCATAAAAGGATGCCACATATTTTGGGTGATTATAATCACCAGGCTAAGAGGTTTAAGCACTGGCAAAAGATACTATTCACTCCTGAACATTTTAGTTCCGCACTGAGTGTGATCACATCTGAGTCTGGACTGTGTTTGACTTGGAAATCAACATCCAAACATCTTCCTGGATGTGTTTTTGTGAGTCCCGCTACATAAGGCCTGTTTTTTACAAACACATGCTTTCAACTTGATGTTGATGGGGAATCTTCTCATTGTCTAAACAGAATTGGATGTCACCTGAGCTGTCACTCAACTCTAGTTAAAATGTAGTCGTACCAGTGTAGTTGTTCCAGTTATTATCTGTCTACTGTGGTATCTTGAATGACACCAAACTGGATAGGGGGGTTGGTAGCCAGATCACCACTCCTGCTCTGATTTGACAGTTGATGATTAACGGCGATCTCTGGCCTGGGTAATATCATTAACAATCCAGATCAGTCCGCCATGCCAGCGGGAGCCTAGAACAGAGTATTTTCCCAGGACAGAGGGAGAGGGCTAATTGGCAGTCACCCTGGCTTAGTGATTATGTGTGCCTCACACTGCAGCCTGTTGTGACTGGAGGAGCAACGGCTTAATCTTCATTTAATAAGGCTTCTCTGTAGGGGCTCACACAGTAGCTGTGAAAAGGCCTTAGAGGTATCCTGCCGCCATTGGACAGTAAGTATGGCCTGGCTTCGGACACCCACACTGTGCTGGCGTCTGACTAGGACAGCCGACACCCCCAGAATCAAATTCTCAGGCCTGCAGCACTCGTTAATTAAATTAAATAATGCCCTCATTTGGTTTTGATGAGGAAAATGCGACTGATGATTTCCCCATGCTGTACACACAACGGTGAAAGCTATAAAAGCCGATCTGACAAAGTGCTTTGGAGGCTTAGCACTGTGCTGCAGTGAGGTATGGGTAAGGAGGAAAGACACATCAACAAGTCATTGACTTGGCCACGTACAGCATCCCAGTGCCAATGGCAGTTATGGTCAGCGCTGTGGTCACAGTCACAAATTAACACAAGTTCTCGGCGCGCTCATGTTTTATTTCTCCCCGCCATAACCAGATGAAAATTGATTATCAAGACGTGTGTTTGGACGGCCAATCAACACTTGCCTTAGACTGATATTCCTAACCAAACGTTGGGATTGCAATTTCTGTCTCTTGTGCAGTTAAACAGAGCTCAATCTTCCACCGGAGGAGAAAGTCTTTACCAGTCATCACTGAGATTTTCTATGTG